CCCCAAAACCCCAAAACCCCAAAACCCCAAAACCCCAAAACCCCGGTTCCAATTTTAGCAACGATAATACATTATTGAGAATTTAATACATCACTAATGAAATTGATACGTATGCGATGATATAATAGCAATTGATTTTTAATGAAATCTTTAATGCTAACGATCATTTCAAATCTTTCCAAGTACTCCTTGCATAAAATAAGTTTCTCCATTGACAAAGCTCCCATCCTCTGAACACATAGTTGCAACGATTGATGCTATCTAGCTTGGCTATCCGTAAATCTTTGGATTAAGTTCTTGCTTTCTTGACTTTTAAAGCATCTTAATAGGTTCTGTCATGTGAGTTTCAACGAAACCTGGACCTATTCCATTTATTCTAATGTTATCTGGTATCAATTCTTGAGCTAGTGACTTTATCATACTAATCAAAGTAGCCTTAGTCATTGCATAGACTCCTATGAATTTATCTGGGCTCTTCCCCATAATGCTTGAATTTACAAGAATATTTGCATCCTTAGGTGATTTTTTAAGCAATGGATAGGCTTCTTTGATGAAAAAGAACTGAGATTTAACATTTACATTGAACAGCTCATCATAGGCTTCCTCGTTAATTAGAAGATTTTTACCGGCATAATTACTAATGCCTGCATTCAACACTAAGACGTCAAGTCTTCCATGCTTCTACTCAATTATTTCGAGGACTTTCTTTCTATCTTAGGATTTAGAGATATTGCAAGTTGTTCCAGAAATGTTAAGTCCCATTTCCTTGAATTTTTTAATTGCTTCGTCTACATTTGATTGTTGACTGGAGCAGATAAAAACTTCACCTCCCTCTCTTGCGATTCTCTCAGCAATAGCATAGCCGATTCCAGTAGTACCACCTGTAACTAAAACAACTTTATCCTTAAATCTTAGCATCTTTTAATTATTTACTTAATTATATTAAATCAATCTTTTAAGCTAATTCTATTTTTTTAAAAATCATTTAATCAATAAAATACTAATATGCAATCACGGGGTTTTGGGGTTTTGGGGTTTTGGGG